CTACCCGGGCGAATGCACTGACCATTATGCTACCGCAGCCCTGATGACCGTGTCGAATTATTTCTAGCCTTTCTTAAGCTGCAAGGCAACGCCATCTCTTCGCATTGTTGGTAACCCACAATGTCAAATGAATACCTTTATGCCTGGTCCGCGTGGTTTTTTTTCCAGTAATATTAGCTTTAGATTTAAATATCGAGCATTTACATGCTTATTAAATATAAATAATTCTCCTTCTATGTTCTATCCCAACAACTCGCAGAGGAACTATATATCCAATGTTATATTTATATCCACATGCAATACCATGCACTATTACAAATTCAAGCTATTGCCTATACGATTTCTTTTCAATTTTCAGCATGCATTTTTCAGCAACAGTTATCCATTCATCCATCCACTTAGAAAACAAAAAATAAGTTTTTTTTTTCTGTTCTGTGATCCAGTCAGCCTTGAACTTAGGTCATTACGTGGCTCCGTCCGCGGGAATACAGAATTATGTTCACGCTACTCAGCACGGTTCTCCGAGCGTGAACAGAACTGAGCTTTGTGCCGTTGTGTAAAGACTCAATCTGCCGTGTAACGAGTTTAAAACGATCAGGGCTGCAATGTTTACTGTAAAGTGTTTCATGAACGATTTTTTCCCGGGGAAATAAAAACTATTATGTAGGTATTGTTTTTATTGCTGCGGTCGAGGGTTTGGTGAAAAATAGGAGTTAAATATGTACCTACATAATACAAAATGTAATTCATATAGGTCGATATTGATACATTGTTGATATCTTAGCTCAATAAAAAGTTCAGTACTAGCATAAAGTTCTTCAATCATTTGCCTGCAGAAATTAAAACACTCAATTTGCCACTGTTTAAATTTAAAGTAGGTAATGCAATTTTTGATTGAAGATAGTTTTAAGTTCTACATTTTACCATTACATGCCCGCTGTGGGCACAGTGTTGTGACTTTGTTTATTATTGCAATTCCAACTGCAAAATTGTACACAGATTTTTAAGCAATAAAGTTATTATTATTATAAAATGTATTCGAATTTAATAATAAAAAATATTCAAAGGCGAAAAATATTTCTTAAAAATATAAAAATTTAAACTAATCATATTCTAGCGCAATATTAGGAGAAAACACGACATTCCTATTACAATGGTGTCGATTATGGCACAATTCTCTGAATTTGAAACAAAACTTAACAATTGTCGCTCCTTTTCATTCTGTAAGGAAAATGACAAGGATACACTGTCAAATTTAAGTTTAGGCTTAGATAATCATGCCAGAGTCGTCACCAATATAGTTTAACTAGTTTTTACTAGCGGCAGCTTTTATCTTCGTTTGAGAGGAAATCTAAAAAAGGAAATGCCAAGTGAAGTAAATATACAAATATTTCCAACACTCACAGTAATTAGCCTAGCCTTGTAAGGCTTGTGTTATAGGATGCTAGGTTAACGGATATAATACATATACTGTACATCATCATCAGCCTATTAATGTCCCCAATGCTGGGGCACAGACCTTCCCTATGGATGGAATAGGGAGATTGGGCCAAGACCCACCACGCGGGCCCAGTGCGGATTGGTGAGTGGGATACTGTACATATATAAGTATATTTATCTAGAATACATATTAAACATCCATGACTAGTACAAATGTTCGTATGCATCACAAACACATCTGGCCCCACCGGGATACGAATCCGGGATATCTGGAGTCGACGACACCATGAAATCCGGCGTACAAACCACTCGACTACGGAAATAGTAGAAGAAGGAGTGAAGCTGGCAACCCTAAGCATTACTTGTTAACCGTACGATGTGACATTGCACCAGCGCGCGTGTACTCCCACGAATGTTAACTAAAGGCGGCGACGAGAGGTTAATGTAACAGCTTAGCCTCTTTTGGGAACAACACCGCGATGCTCGGCCGCCATTTTATTCTTTTTCCACCCCGAAAATGGCGACGCGACGGAAAGCTGCGTTCTTAATTTGAAATCGAATAAAATTTTAACTTATTTAACTATAATATTTATTATTATTGCTATCTCATTTATTTTATTTCATAGTTAGGTTTTTTTTATAAAATAGATATAAAAGTAAAATACAAAAATAAAAAAATAGAAAAGCGAGCGAGCCTGACAGTAGTCACGTATGATGTGTAACATTTGAATTTGAAGAAATAAAACCTACTACAAAAGGAATAAGCCATTAGAACATTATGTTCTAAAATCAGATCAAATAGCGCGCGCTTCCGCGACTTCCTGTTACACACTTCTGTCCCATTTCACGAAATCACTCCCACAAATTGCAGGAACGCTAGAGGAAAGATGGTACACATCAATATAGTATAAAAAACCTAACCTAGAAGGCCACCAGCAGCGGAGCTAGGCCCAAGCTGCCGGTGACCGCAGAGCAAGACACCGCCTGACGATGCGCGCTGTGTCCAGGAGTACTGAGTATCTTTATTAACTCCAAAATTTTAAAAAAAGTCAAGATTTTTCCGTACAACAAAATAATAACTAGTTTTTTTTAATCATTTATGTTTTATATTCAAATCTGTCATAATAAAAAATCATTTATTCAGTCTAGGCTGTTACAAGCACTTGTGAATGTCGAAAAAGTACGCCATCGGTTCGCAAAGCTACTGCGGGAGACGACGTACTGATATGAGAAGAACCGGCAATAAACTAAGCAAGGGCTGCTTTCTTCTCCATGTATCGTTGCTTATGTAACATACTTATTTCCTAGAACGATTCCTAATTTATTTAGAACACTTAACGCTTCAAAATGAAAACTTATTTTAAAAAAGGGATAACTTATTTTTGTCCACTTGAATTAATAATAATTTAATGTGCCTCCCCTCCGTTTAAGCCAAACTGTGCCGTCATCTCATCATTCTAAATTTTAAACGTGTTAAAACAAAATGGCGGACGCAGCGCTCTAAGGTAATTCGATTTAGTTCGAATCAGAGTTGAGTGCTTCAAAACATTTTAAAGGCTGCAGTAGAAATTACTTCAACGCATTAAAGGAGCGCCAAGTTTTTGATAAATGATGGTTTAAACTGTTGGCAACGTAATAGGCGACGACAAAAAGTAATAAATCACAGTAACGTTTATGGCAACACTTTTAAAAAACACAAATTTATGTGAAAAGTGTAAGTAATATAAGTCTAGGTATTGCTAAGCGTGTTATTATTTTATGAAAAAATATTTTGTTATCAATTTTTCTATTATTATTTTATCATTAATCAATGTAAAATTTCTCAAATAAGTCTCAATAAAGAAACTAGCATAATATTGTAGACAACCATGTTCCATATTAATGAGTACATACATTTATTTGCAAAAAAGGGAGCGGAAAAACTGTTTTTGACTCCCCTATAAATCAAAATGCACATAATAACTCGACGCAGTTTAAACAATATAGAATATTTATGTATATCATAATATTTAAAGAAAAACATGAAGGCTTGTTGACTTAAGTGAGGGTTGGCAGATTGGGATCCCTGCATTCATTTACGAATTTAACGTTTGTGTTGCTTTAAGGAATAAGATTATTATTAAAATAAAAACTGAACTCTAAGATCTATTACTTCCAACATGTTCATGTTTTATTATGTATTTTAAAATTAGGGAAATTGTTTTAGTTAGGACTTGGATGTTTGATAATAAGGAGAAATAGTTAATAAGGGGTTTCGGAGTAACGGAAGAAATTTCGTTTGTCGATTAAATACTTGATCTATTCAAGTTCTTGCTACAATCATGTTCAAGAATCGATTTTATATTACAAGATTTTAGCACTTGGCAAATTCATATACATCCCGACAAGTTCCTTGAACAGCGACCACAAAAAAGGTTAATTAACCTATATACTGAAATACTCATATTAATTATATTTGTAATGATATGAAAGGACTTTATCAGAACTCTACAAAATAAAAACCGTATCTCATCTCATTGTAGTTTTTTTTTTAATTTATGGTATTAAGACATTATCTTTTTGCCTGTAATTTTTTAAAACAAGTTTTTAACAAAGGAATTTATTACAATACAAAACAGCAGCCCTAGTTATGTATTTCACATCGGATTATGGCGCATATTTGCTATGACGCATTGGTGGGGTTACATCGCGCAGGCTAGGCCCTTGTTTTTTTAGTATATTTGCTAAAGACGCATCTACATAAGCCCGGACCTATGTAAACAGGGAGTGTAAACATGGACTTATGAACGGCTTTATTACAACGCAACGCTTTCCCGATTTTATTTAAAACGGAATTAATTAATACGAACTGACTGGCGGGTGCAGCCGTTCGAAATCTGACAATATTTAAAAATTACCCATAAAGAACACACATAAAAAAACAGCTTACTTTTTAAAAATACTGACGTATGAACCTTTTTATAGTTTATTATCAAAGAAAATGAGAGATCAAGCAAAATATAACTTCATACTTTAACGTCATGAAAAGTTCAAAGAACATTTTTTTTCATAGAAAAATTTTTACCCGCTACCTTATAACTTTACTAAGGCATATTAAGTAAGTGGTTCATATTAACTTTGAATGGTTTTCTAATTAGTATTAGAAAAAAATATTGTAACATAACCTTCTGATGGTTTCATTTCATAAAACAAGACCACATCCACCAAGTTATAATTTCGTAACCCGTAAAAGGAAAAAAAGGAGATAAGACAAAGCTGGGTATCGATACAGCCACCTCATCGGTGTACTTAACTTCTTTATTAAGTAAATACCTGCGTAATTCCTATTAACATTTGTTAGTTTTTCAATTAATTAAGACATTTTTTTTATTGTGCAACGTAACCATTTGATGATTTCATTTCTTAAAACAACACCACAACCACTAAGTTATAGGTAAAATCCGTAGCCCACAGTAAAAAAAGTTGTTATTAAAAAGTCAATAATCCTTTCGTTAGTAGATTAAACAATGATGGTTGTTTGATAAAGCCACCTTACCGGTGTAAACTGGAGTTTATTTTACCTGGATACGTGCCTCAGGCAATCCGATCTTTTCCGCGAGCCTCTCACGCGCGAAAACGTCCGGGTAGTGCGTTCGCTCGAACTCTGTGGGGAAAATAGAAAAAAAAAGTTAAATACATTCTCTATGGTGACTAAAAAAAGAAAAAAGCGTATTTATATTTAGAAACTGATAAATATTTCAATATTTATTCTATAGTGGGGTTCTTTTCAAGGAAAAATATCATGGAATACTCCTATCATTACGGCCTGTGCTGCGGAGCGGACATACGCTGCGCGGAATACCCGCCTTACTCAGCGCTGCTCAATGCAATAATATAAACAAACACGCTGAGCGAAAGCCCGCTACGTTCTCCCGCTTAACGCAACGCAGGGCCTTATCAGCCTTTTAATGTCTCCACTGATGTGGCACTGTCCTTCCCTGGATATGAAATAAATGACCACACCGGCCCAAAGCTGATTGGTGGGTGCTAACTGAAGGCAGATACAGCTGGGGACAACGGCTTATCGTGTTTTCCGTAGTGCGGTGGAGCTTCAAACAATAAGTTTTTGGTCACCCATCCAACGTCCATCCATTGCAAAAGTTGCTTAGCATCCACGATCGCAGACCGAACGTGCTAACAAAACTACTGCCGATTAACAACTATACTTAAAGTATCAAGTAACAGTGACAGTTAGCGCATTCTAAAATAATTATAGTAATTTATGTTATTTACGGAATTGTTACCATGTACCTTGTTTTTAGCGACTTCCCGATATTTCGGCACTGTTGCAAGCGCCATGATGAAGTTACTCCGCGATCATGACGCTAGCAACATTGCCGAATTATCGAAAACTCGCAACAACAAGGTAGATGGTAACGATCCCGTAAATAACTTAAATATAAGTGACCATGAAAGATTAAAACAATATTATGTTATCATTCTTGAATTTTCCCTCACTCCCAGTCCAAGATAGAATACCAAAAGTAAGATAAACCCAGAGCTGGATTTAAAGCGCCCTGCTTTAGGCAGGCGGAGCTGTGGCCCAGGAGTAAGAAAACAAAAAAAATGCCTGTAAAGTCGGTTTTACGGGCGAAGATTTTACGTGACAACGTCTTTTTCTCGGTAGAATATTTATTGATATGAATATAATTAAATTGCACAATAGGAACAAGGAATTGAATGAAAATAAGAATTGCACAAATTTTAACTATAGAAATATATTTTGTTTACTAAAACATTGTACATGTAAACTTAAACTTAACACGAGAGACTCATCGTAACGTTACCGAGCGTTACACTTTTTCATAAGTGACTCCCAGCCGCAACCTAATTTAAGACGTTGTCACGTCAAAATTGTTTTCTTTTAATTTTGAAATTTAACTTCAATGGGTCAACCTAACCAAGAGATGCCAATCGTGGTCTGGCCCAGACTTACGGGCCCCTCTAAATCCGGCTCTGGATAAACCGAAAGATGTCGCGTATTTTCGCAATAACACAGCGAGCCGTCAACACGACTATCAGCCTGTTGACAATCTCGAGTCCCCCGGGACCTCATAAACCCATTTCCCAATGTCCCTTTCATCTTATTTATTGTTTGCCAAACAGTTATTAGTAAATAATAAATCGTGCCCGGTGTTTGTTCATCACTCGACCGGTGGAATCGTTCGTCCAATTAATGGCCGTTGGACCTTACAATCTTAGTTTTTCCTGTTTGTGGAGCACTTCGTTTTGTATGGGTTTATTATTGCTCTAATTAGAGGGGGATAGTTTTTGAGATTAGTTTTTTGTCGGTTTGTTTGGTGGTTATGGAAATAAACAAATAAGCTTGTTTGTTGGTTGTTTGTGATTGTTATAATGCACTTCACATGGCAATTCCTATTTGATATTAGTAAATTAGATCAGTACATACTCACTATGCTCTTATTGGAAAAGAAACACATATTTTTCAAATGTAGTTTACGTAGGTTGAATAAACGAAATAGTATTAACATAATGTCCTTTGTTTCCAAATAAATATTTTGTTTGCAAGCTTCCGCCGGCGGTTTTGTCACGATTACTTTCGTTTCAAGTAACTTGTTTTTTTTCCGAAGAAATATAAAAAAGAGGTATGGGAAATTGGCAAAGTTACTGCGTGACCAAGGTAAATAATGTCATGAAATGGCGGGCAAAATTGTTGCACCAGATGTCTTTGCGTCTAGCCTCTACCGTGACATAACAGCAGGTCGGGTGGAGTCAGTTGTTGTATAGTACCTTTATATATATATAAAAAATATTTTATATAGCATCATAGAAGCCGTTACCTTTTTCTAAGCTGTCTATCTGGTCGTTGGTGAAGCTGGTCCGATTCCGCTGCAGCTTCCTCTTCAGTCGTAGCCTCATCTGCGAGTCCTCGTCTCCTGATGAAGCGTGCTCGCTGTTCCCGTCCGAACCGGCCTCGGACTGGAGGGTGTCTGCTGGAGAAAACATGGAATTTAGACCCTCGACCGAGACAAAATATAAAACAATAGGGATGTAGACTAACTTTTTTTCCTTCGTCTATGCGATAGATTATGAAAAAGTATTACCGTATTAGCCGACCTCCGTGGTCGAGTGGTATATAGGTTTCGTGGCATCAATAACTCAGGGTTCGAATCCTGGTGGGGGCAAAAGGCATGGATGTTTATATATTTCTAGATAAAATAGCACCCTAGCATCCCATAACACAAGCCTACAGTGCTTTCTTTGGGGCTAGGCTAATTGGTGTGAGTGTGGAAAATTTATTATTTATTAATTTTTTATTGGGCACGCATTTTTTCTTTATTCACATAACAATACAGCGATATTAAATAAAACTAGTTTTTACGGGTTAATGCACGAAACTTTATTTATTTATTGACGTTTCGCAGCCTTTTCAGGTCTGCATCGTCAGAATAATGATTTTTTATTTAAAATTGTCGAGCTACCTTCGAAAGACTTATATTGAGCGTTCGGTTATTTCATTGGAAGATTTTTAAAATTTTATTGTCTATGTATGAATTTATTATTTAATTTACTTAATAAAGTATTTTATTTAAAATTATATAAATTAAAAGGTATATACCAACCATCTTCCCTATTGAATATACCACCAGCTTGGGAACCTATTATACAGGAGATAAAATCCCAACCCCGAGCACACACTGCAAGACCATCAGATACTATTAGTTCTTTTTGTTTGCATAATTTAACATAAGAAGGAGATAGAAAGCCTCTCTTGAGTTTGTTTCGCCGGTTCTTCTCAGGAAGGTCTCCCAATTTTGGAACCGGTGGTAGTTTACGGTAGTTAGGGTCTATATAGGGTATAGGGTTAGGGTATACTTTATTAAGTAAATTAAATAATAAATTCATACATAGACAATAAAATTTTAAAAATCTTCCAATGAAATAACCGAACGCTCAATATAAGTCTTTCGAAGGTAGCTCGACAATTTTAAATAAAAAATCATTATTCTGACGATGCAGACCTGAAAAGGCTGCGAAACGTCAATAAATAAATAAAGTTTTAACCCGTAAAAACTAGTTTTATTTAATGAGTGATGTGCGTGAAAACCTAAGAAACAAATATAATACAGCGATATATTAATTTACAATATCGCGTAACGACACGTCTTGGTACAATTTTTACTTAGAAGTGACGTAACGAGCTGCCACTCCTAAGCTTTGACCCTGTATATCTCTGGTACTTTACTAACTACACCAGTCACCACTAAAAGAAATTAGTGTTATTTCGCTGTAGTCTTAGAAGATGTACGTAAGGTGAAGGTTACTTCCACAAACTGTATTTCTATTTCTAAACGAACGGGAACTATTCTTAAATTTGCTCGTTTTGGGAAAGTGCTTAGATTTAGATTAGATTACTGGATAGTAAATTTTGATGCTTTCTTTAAATAGAACTACTAAATATTAGCTTCAATTCTATATGAAGAATTATATTGATGATATGTTTGTTGTCTAAACATTAAAGTAACAAAGCGGCAAATTAGCGAATGCTTGCTTACATACTTAATGTACCGCCTGATCTAAGGGGGAGTCTTCATTTGTAACTATCAATAAGACCACTCCACGCAACACTCGAGAACCATCAAGCAAATGCGTCAGCAGAATTGTACAACTGCGTTCTCGAAAGACCTAGCTTTTCAAACATATCCTGTACAAACAAGGATCTTTAAAGACTGGTTGATGCGAACAAATTCTGGCATTAAGAGACCCTTCGCTTCAAACATCAGCTATAAAACTAGGGCTCTAATAAGATTGGACGATTTTAACAAAGTATCGCATTAAACACAGCATCATCATGACATCTCCCAAAGAACAATTTGTACTAAACGAAGGGTCCCGAAAAAATGGTTTGGATAGAAGGGTACCGAAATTAAACGTTAGTAATGTCGACATGCCCCCGGCTAATTGATTAATTTGCTTTATGGTCTCGGGTTCGACTCCCCGTAATGGTGCACGGACAACTGACTCGTCACAAAGGCGGGGGCTGTTATGCAATCTGTCACATTTTCGTCCCGCTACAGTCGGTGTGCAAGGCAAGGGCTAATTATCTTGATGGATGCAGAAGCCGTCAGCGGCGCAGGGAACTTGGGATGGAAATTGGCAGGAAATTTTGTCCCATCGCCTGATCGCCATGTGGTCGAAGATTTGACTCTAAAACGGACGGTCATCGGTTTGAGTGCGGCACAATAAGCCGTTAGAGGTTTTACCGGACTGTATGTTTCTTTATTCATGTAGCGACGCACCCACTGTCTATGACAAAGGTTTTTAAAAAAAATACCCTAAACAGAATATCTGAAGAAATTACTACTAGATTTTTTTATATATATTTAAATCTAGCAGCTCATGTTTTAAATAATGAAATATAAACCCTGGTATAAATTGCATCTATGTAAGTTGTTTTAAAAACATGGCTTCATTTTTGTTTACCGTTACCAAGCGTATATTATTAGTAAATTGATAAAATGTTCTCGAAAGAATCGCTACAAATAACGAAATCCTTTCTCCCTATGCACTAATTTATTACAATGTATGTTTTTTGGCTGTGTCAGATGTGGACATAAATAGGAAATCTTTGTGAAAGGACCCGAAAAGTATTCTAAAGGTTTGTTTTAGGTTTTCTCGTGACCTGAATCAGTAATGGAGTGGGGTGTTTTGATCTTGTGAATGGCTGACCAAAACGATGGCGGCGCGCCAATAGGAAACCTACATGCTAATAGCTCGAAGTCGTAAATTTGAAAAATAAGACGATGGATTTTTTACAAGAAAAAAATTCTTTCGGGTTTTTTTTTAGAAAAAAATCCTTTGGATTTCATTTCATTTCTACATCTAGCAGTAAAATGATTACAAATATAAAAATGTAACGTAAAACGATTATTCGGATTTTAATAGGTAATATTAATAATATCACAACAGTATTTGGGGTTACATTTCTTAATATTTATCGATAAATACTTCGAACAGTAGATGCTTTTCTTTAAGAACAAATTCACTTTTCATCTCTCTTTCCGCGGTGTAAATAAGTACACGATTCACACTAATATCACACTAATATTATAAATTCGAAAGATTGTGAGGGTGTGAGTGTGTATGTTTATTACTTCTTCACGTCTAAGCGGATGGAGCGATTTTAATAATATTTGGTATGGAGTCAGCTGACACCCTGAATCAACACATAGGCCACGTTTTACTGCGGGAAAATATCCCTAATAAACCGCGGGTAACACCGCGGGGCATAGATAGTTTCAAATAAATTTCAAATCACACCAGCGAATTTCGCGGTGAAAAGTGAGTTTGTTATTACAGAATAGCACTGAAAGATTCTCTATGTAAGTGTCTATTGAAATGTTCTTCTATTCAAGACCGAATAAAATCTTAGGTCTAAACTTCTTCCCCCTAATTGATAAACGAATAAGTTTAGACTTTGTAAGAAAAAATATTAATTTGTTTCTTAAAAACAGTGATGTTCACACACATAATACAAGAAACAAAAATAAACTAACTTTACCTGCTACTAGGCTTCACAAAATTAATAATTCATTTAAAGGTCTTTGTGTTCGCTTATACAATAAAGTCCGAAGCAATATCCAAGAGTTAACCATAAATAAATTCAAAGATAGTATAAAAAAGCACTTATTAAAAAAGCTTATTACAAAGTGTCTGATTATATTACAGACAAAAATGCTGGGGTTTGAACTGTTCCAATCATTCCAACAGGTTTTCTATATTAAATAAATCACTAGCAAACCAGTGAACCAAATGTTCACCAAAACCTGATTTCTCGAAAACCGGAAGTGCTACGATACTCAAATCCGGTTTGTAGTCTTATCAGACTATTCTTAACTTATAACTTAAACATTCTCTATATCTATCTCTTACGGTTTGGCCGCTGAAACAGCACCACGGACGAACGGACGGACTTGTCTATTAGATAAGAGATGATTGTATTGACGTTGTAACAACATAATGATTTGTAAATGTTGTTACATTATACTTTTAATGTTGTGTAGATTTTTTCGCATGTTTTTCTCCGCAGCTAAAAAATATGTCCCATAACGAGTGGTAGGGAAAAAAATGTTTGGACGATTCAAAAGTGGTGTACTATACATCCAATTTGAATAAAGATATATTGGTTTCTGATTTCTGACTAGGTACGCAGTATTTTATTCATGGCACTCAAATGCCATTTGTAAATAAATGAATAGAGACAAAACATAGAGAAACTAATCAAAGCACATTTTTCGTTTATTAATAAGGCGGCTTCGGTGTAGAGATAACTTTGAACACCTTGTCAAAGACTTGATCTAAGTGTAGGTAGTTGTAAAGGTGCCACAAGCACTCACACCAGAAACGATATTTTAATATTTCGCATTTCCATGCTGTCTGGACCCAGCATAATAATTCCATGGAAACGAAATCTCAAGCCACTCAGCTATGAGATTAGCCAAGTTTAAGACAAATAGAAGATGATTAGATGAATACAGATACGTGTCTTAAACTTGACTGAAATCGATGAAAGCTCTAATATTATATCATATTACCGCTTTTAAGTGAAAGACTCGCTCTTCAAATCAACTTTCGGTTTTCTCTTAATAGACGTTTCTCATCTTGATGATCTCTTTATAGGCTAACATCAGTGCTTGTAACAGCCAAAACTGAATAAATGATACGGATTATGATTATGATTAGACGAATGGCGCGCCAAATTATTTGCAAAGCGACCGACGCAACACCACCTGTGCCGAACCAAAACGCGATGGAAGCACAAAGACATTCTGGAGCGTAACCGAACCACTCGTAGCATGATTGATGCGCCATTCTCGAAACATGGCGGACTTTCCAATCGGATGACAATTTTGATGGATCACTCGTTCCGTGTGCACACGCCCTTAGCGCATGACGTCAACTTCTAATGAGATCTCCAGTTTACAAATGGGCG